AAAAAAAATCCATTTACAATACCATAAATGTGAAATACTTAAGGATAAATTCAATTTTTTAAAAATGTGCAAGACCTATAAACAAACTACAGGAATATACGTTCCTGAAAGAAATGAACAAAAATCTAAAGGGAGAGACGTGTCTTGTCCATAGATCAGAAGGTATCAATTCTCTCCCCAAACTGATCCACAGATTCATTGCCTTTCCAGTCGAAAATTCCTAACATACTTTTTTGTAGAAACAAGATAATTGTAAAATTTATATGGAAATGCAAAGGGCCTAGAACAGTGAAAACAACATTGAAAAAGAGGAATAAATTTGGAAGGTTTATCCTACCTAAGCTTAAGACTTAACCATAAGGCTACAGTAACCAAGACAATGTGATATGGACATAAAGACAGACATGTACAGGGACTAACAGAATACACTCATGCACATGTGGACAACCGATTTTTGACAAAGATCCAAGCACCCTACTCCATGAGACCAGAAGACACACTAGATAACATTTCCTGGAGGATTAACCTTAGCCCTGCAAGGAGGAAGGTCATCTTAACATTGTTATAACACAGTGCATGATGAATAGAATGCAACAGGTAAGAAGTTTTAAGGTCGCTTCAGACCTTCACTCTCCACCACGGTTTTCTCTTCCTCAACTCATGGCACATCCAGTCTTCCACTCACTCAGATTAAAATCGGAAGATGCCCCCTTGATTGGACTACCCCACTATCCAATACATTGGGAAATCCTGTTGGTTCTGCCATCAGATAAATCTGGGTTCAACCGCTTTTCAAACCTCCACGGGCCGCGTCATCCTCTCTACTAGGACAGAGACCTATAGACTGACTCCTCTGCTTTCACTCCTTGGCTTGAAACCCTCTGAAGACGCTGTGCTTGCTGAGAATGAAGCTCCCTCCTCTCCTGGCTTTGGAAGCCTGCCTGCCACCTACTTGTTCATCCTGCTCCGGCCGTCCTGGCCTTCTGGCCATGCCTCCAACACATCTGGCACCCTCCCATCTTGGGGTCTTTTTATGTTGTAAACAAAATTCCAGATATTTTATCATTTTAACAATCAATTCTTAAATTTGCATCCCAAATTGAAAAGGACTTTTGAAAATATAACTACTATACAATGATCCCTGAATGTCAACAAATACCCAGTCTATATATATTCAGTTCACACAATTCCTCAGAAATGCCTGTATGTGGCCTATCCTAACGATAGTTACTAGAGCATTTGTGCTAGCTGCCTCAGTCACTCTCCCCCCAGATGGCTGACCCCTACATGTCCCAAGTCGCTGCTCAAATGTCTCCCTCGCAGAGGCCCACCCTGCTCAGACTTCTCTCCCACAGCCCTGGCCTCTCCACACACTCCACACAAGGCAGCTACTGTGTCTATGGACTTTCTCACCCAACAAAAACGTAAATGCCAGAAGGAAAGGGTGTCTGTCTGCCTGATGCCAGATTTTATTCCAAGCACCTAGAACAGTGTCAGACACATACCGGGTGCTCAATAAATATTTATGGGTGAATGAGCCAGGATGGTTTAACTCTGAAGAAAGAAACAATCTGAGGAGCAGCAGCCCCTCAGATACAATTAGTGTGAAATTCGCAAAGAAACCAAAACCAAGCAGAGACTACTTAGAACCATAACTGGGAACAGTTCTCTAAAATAAACTGTAATCTCTTTTCACTGATATATCATTTGAACTGTTGTTGCCATCCACCCCACACTGGCTGGGTTTAGAGAGCTTTTACTGTTTTTATTTCCAACCCATACATTTAGAACAGTATCAAGTAACCCTTAAGTACACAATTACCAACACATAAGAGACTCTTCTGCTCCCTTGATAAATCATTATGGTTTGGCTTTGACCTTGCACCTGGGTACTCCACTTACACACATACACACCCCCCAAATCTATGCCCACCCTAACACAACGATTTCCCAGTCTGAGAGAGATCACACTTTGTGAGATGGCAGCCATGGTGATTTACATGAAATCAAGTCACTGCATTTTGGGCAACAGAAGTTTTTTGTTGCAGTTTCATCCTCTTGAGCTCAAGCAAGTGAGGTCGGCTCCCTTTTAACTTGAGGGGAGGAGCCCTGCCCAGACACCGGCTGCTGTCTGGGAGCTCCGGTTCTGAGACATTCAGGTTGTAGCACCCATGGCCAAAGCAGGAACAGGTTTCGGGGGCCGTGGGCACCTGACCAGGAAGCCTGGGCTCTCCAAAGCACCCCCAAAGGGCCCATCGACCCTGCCGAGGCCCAGCCCTATAGAAGCTGCGTACCTCTGGCCTCCTACCACCGTCTGCACTCACCAAACACTTGTGCTGTCTCTAGAATTCTTCAACTGTGTCTGCTCCCAAATATTTACCACCCTGGCTCCAATCCAGTCCTGGGAACGTGACATTAGGCCAAAAACCTCCAAGGTGAAATCCAACAATACCTTCACCTTTTCCCACCCCTAGGTCCACAAAGTCCACTTGTTCCACACAAACTGAGTACCCCTGAAGACAAGGGTCACTTAGACCCTCTCTGCCAACAGTTTTAGCAAGTGCACTGCCAAACTCTCAAGGAGAGGAACTCCCTGGTCAGCCCTATCAAAAAGGAAGAAACTGAGGCAAGGCAACAGTGGAGCATCTAAAGGACGCCCAGAGGTCACACTGCTCCAACGTGTGCTGGCTGGCTGGGGAAGGATTCACTTGAGCTGAAGACTCAGTTTTCTAATCTGGGGTCAGCAAACAACTGCCTGGGCCTGCTTGTTGTGAATGGTTTTCCTGGGACACAGCCACGCCCACCCGAGTGTGCACTGTCTACACAGCTACTTCACCTACAAACCAGAGCTGAGTAGCAGCGATGCATCCTCCATGAGTTATAGTCCCAAAGTCAAAAATATTGACTGATTTTTGAAAGCGGGAAGACACTGCAGCACTGACAAGCTGTGCAGCATATTAAAGGGAGAGAAGTGACCCAGGCACGTTGGCAGACCCAAAACAAAAAGTTAGGGCCGAGGCACACCAAGGAAGTGCTCCAGCACCATGCTGGCCCCAGGGGACAAAGTAGTACCTGCTCTCCCCAAGGCACAGAGCCTCATTAACCCACAGAGCAGAGGAGAGCATGACTTGGCACACGAGAGGCAAAGAACCAGCCCCATGAGGGCCACAGAGCCAACAGCAAGGCCACACAAGCCCATCCTTGGCAACCAGAGCTGGCCTGTCTACACTGTCAAGCCAAGGTGTCCACTGGGGTAACAGCCGTATGTGCCCTCCAGGTCCCTGATCCATCCCTGCTTGTCCTCCCTCAGCCACAGTAACAGCCGCCTCACTGAGGGACAGATCA